GTCAATTCTGTACATGAAATATATTTTCAAAATAACTATCAGGGGGTGATTAGTGATCGATACTGATGCCAAAAATGCAATCAGTAAAATTTTTGTCTGTCTGTCTGTCTGTCTGTATGTTCCTTATAGAAACAAAAACTACTTGACGGATTTTAACGAAACTTGGTACAATTATTCTTCATACTCCTGGGCAGATTATAGGATACTTAGGAATTCCCACGGGAACGGGAATCAGCGGGAAAATCCTTTTGTATCAATACTCAATACTCAATATGTTTATTGCTTCCATAATACATAGTAGGTAATATAGGTGTTACAGTGTGATAATACAGTTAATTATGGACCCTGTTGGGCGCTGCAATTTAAAATATAAAATATAAGAGAGGAGGCTTTTTTAATTATTAGATTAATAGACTCATCTTATTTTATCATCTAGATATTCTTTTATAGTGTAATAACATTTTGTACTTAAAAGCTCTTTTAGTTCTTTTGAGAATTTGTTATCATTATTTTCTTTCAATAGATAATTGGGCAATTTATTATAAATCTTTATGGCCATATTATAAGTACTTGAAGAGGATAAATTTAGGCGGATGGTTGGTATCATTAACTTATTTTTATTTCTTAAATGGTATTGTGGACATGATTCTTCACGTTTTGTAAAAAACTCAAAGTGGGAACGGACAAAATTACAAATATTTAAAATATAAATACAAGGCAAGGGCAATATTTTGTACTTTTGAAAGTAAGGCTTACAACTGTCTCTGGGCTTAATATTGGCTAATATACGGATTAGTTTTTTTTGTTTGATGAATAGTGAGGGAGCGTCGGTGCTATTGCCCCATAGGATAATCCCATAATTTAGCCAGGCGTAGCCGTAGGCATAATAGGTCACAAGCGCTGTTTCTAAATTAGTTGTTTTTTTAACCTCTCGAAGAGCGTATGCAAAGCTTGATAGTTTGGACTTAATTTTTTGTATATGTATCTTCCAATTTAAGTGTGTATCTATTGTTAAACCGAGTAAACTAAAATCTTTAACTTGTTCCATTTTAATGTTGTTAAAATTATAGTTAAGGGTAAGTGGTGTCTTTTGGTGCGGATTAAAGGTCATGAGTTTAGTTTTTTCAAAGTTAATTTCCAGATTATGTGCTTCCATCCAATTGGATATATTAATAAATAATTTATCTAGTTTATCTTTTACATTAATGTTATTTCTACAAGACGTTAACACTGAAATATCATCTGCAAATAAAACGCACGGCTCCTCCATGATTTTGGGGAGGTCGTTAATGTAGATCAAAAATAAGAGACACCCTACTACACTGCCTTGTGGTATTGATGAATTAACCATTATTTTATCAGATCGGATCTTTAAAATTTGTTGAGATTCTTTTTCAAAGTGCTCTATTTCTACATATTGTTCTCTATCTTTTAAATATGATTTAAACCATGAGTGTGCCGCACCGCGAACACCAATTCCGTATAATTTAGATAATAGTATATTATGCTGTACTCGGTCATATGCTTTGGTCATATCTAGTAAGATGCCCACGCCGTATTGTTTTGCATCTAGGGTTTTAACTATTTCTTGGGTGTATTTATATACTGCTAGAGTAGTTGAACGATTTTTGCGGAAACCATTTTGGCTATTGTCAAATATACTATATTTTTCACAAAATTTGGTAACTCTATTGCAGATAGCTTTTTCAAATATTTTTGAACATGTGGGCAAAAGGGCTATTGGACGGTAATTTGATGGATTTAATTTTTCATTCTTTTTATAAATTGGTTTTATAATTGTTCTTTTAAGTAATGATGGGAAAGTACCTTCAGTAAAAGATTGATTAATTAACAATGTCAGTGGTAATGCTAACTCGTCTGCACACTCTCTAAATAGATTAGGTGGTATTTCGTCTATTCCGTGGCTGTTTTTATTTTTTAAAGATTTGATGATTCTGTTGATCTCGCGACAATTTACCGGGTTTAGGAAAAATATTAAAAGAGTAGATATGTTAAACATAAATATTATGTTACCTTTAATGAAGATCATTCAAAAAGACAATGCCGGAAATTGGCGTCTTTTTTTTTTCGCGCGGCCATCGACCAAACTTTGTTTTTTGATTACAAAATAGTGTAATAAACCAAACTTACTATGACATGTATACCTCTAAACTCAATCTGAACTGAGTTACAAGAAATTGCAACAAAATATTGCGCTATTTTTTTATTGCGCTGATTCTGCTCCATATTGATGTCTGGAGCCTTTAATGGATGGTATTGTTTGTTTACACATACAATCTCACTATTTTGTTGCAATTTCTTACAAAACTTTGCGCGCAAAAAGCAAATCTAGTATGAAAATCATCAAACTTCTAATGCTCGTAACTCAGTTCAGACTGAGTTTAGAGGTATACATGCCATATTANCCCGGAGCGGCGCGGCGCCGTCAGGCAGGAAGAGCGCGAGATCATGATCGTCCGCTGGAAGGAAGACATGACTCGCGCGCAGTTTGGACCAATGGTTGGAACGACCGCACGGGTTCCTCACGTTCCGTCTGGCGCAGGTGCTGACCGATGGTTGCTTCGGTTCGTACCTGCATAGGATCGGGCGAGAGGAATCTCCACTGTACCACAAATGCGGCGCGGCGGATGACACGGTGCAGCACACCCTCGCGGTCTGCACAGGCTGGGAGGAGCAGCGCCGTGTCCTCACTGCGGTCGTGGGCTGGGATCTTTCGCTTCCGAGCCTGGTCAACGCCATGCTGGGAAGTGAAGGATGCTGGATGGCGGTCGCCTTTTTTTGCGAAGAGGTCATCCTTCAGAAGGAGGCAGCGGAGCGCGAGCGGGAGAACNCTAACAATAAGGTATAACTTCTAACAATAAGACATTGCTATGAAAATCATTTCGATGTACACTTAATAATAATAATAATAAATAATAAATAAATTCCTTTATTGAAGTTACAAGTTTTATCATTACAGGGTTTGGTACAACTTCTTTTAAGTTTATAAAAACCTGTATTAGAAGTGTACCCTCTTCTCTGTGGTAATAATTACATAAAAAACTTGTACAAATAATACCTACCTGTTATTTAGTTTTTCTGAGTTAAACCTACGCACCTACCTATCTATTCGCCGTTCCCATGGGCGGGCCAGCTGCTGCAGGAAAGGACAGCCGCTCCGTGCTGGAAATCTATTTAATCTTAGCCTAGAAGCTGGGTATGACTACCCCGCCCCTCTCCTCTCCCCAGGTCATAAGCTGGGCATGACTTCCCCCTCGGCCAGAAGTTCTGGTTACTGATCCTAAAAGTGCTCTTTTAAACAGTACCAATAAATAGGTTACAGAATAAATGGGAACTATCCGAAAATTCAATGTTTCCAGCTTCCATACCTTATTTGGTAAAGTTACATAATATTAAAAACTACACAAGATATCGCAAAACTAGTTACTGATCCTAAAAGTGCTCCACGAGTTCTGTCCAACGGTATCAACAATAGCTTACAGAATAAATTGGATCTATCCAAAAATTCAATGTTTCCATCTTCCATACATTTAGTACTATCACAGTCATGGCACTCATCTCTTGATAATATGATAGCAAGTAAAGCCTAAAACTTATGTTTTCCACAAATAATTTTTAATAAGATGCAAGTTACGAGTTTATTTAATCGACTTTTTAAGTTTATTATTTAACAAAAAATAAATTACACTTCTAATATCGTGTGGTTGGCATACATTTAGTATGGAAGCTGGAAACATTGAATTTTCGGATAGTTCCCGTTTATTCTGTAACCTATTTATTGGTACCGTTTGAAAGAGCTCGTGAAGCACTTTCAGGATCAGTAACCAGTTTTTCAATATCTTGTATAGTTTAGAAATAATCGAGTGAGATCACTTATCGTTTCCACCCTGTATAGGCTATAATTTTTGACGATCTGTGACAAACTAAATTTCACACGGGTGAAGCCGCGGGGGCAAAATAAAATAATATTGAGTTACTTACGTAAAACTGTATGACTTTACAATTCATAATCCTAGGTTCATAGTAGACAAAGATTATAATAAACTCTGTCGTAATTGATTGATAGTTCCGTTCGATTCCCGACTCGAGCCAAGTTATGATCGGCTTCTGTCACAATGCCCTTTCTCTGAATCACCAATCAGCATAATTGGCATTTGTTCAATAGTCATGTTTTGGAGAAATACAATGGTAGTTAATTGTAAAAAAGAATATTAATTTGTATACCAAGCGCAGTAGTCGTTTCAAAATTCAATGCATAATAATAAAGTATGAATAAAATGGTATGTAAGAGCATTAAAAGAGTATGCATTTGCTATCTTATCATGCACTCAAATATGCACAAAGTAAACAAGAACGAGATCATGATAAAAGTAAGCTTTCGTTAACGTTGCGTTGTACCTACTTACTTAGATAAAAAGAGCTTACAACATTGTGCTTCGAAGAAATATTTTACAGGGTTTAGCTAGTTACATTCAAATTCTACAATTTTATTATTACATTAATCGGAAAATTCAAGAGTAAGATTCAGGCTGATTTTATAATTATTTTAAAAAATTAGAAAGTAAAATATTACAATATTATTAATAAAGATTTTTCATTGTTTGTATTGAATTATGGCTCGAAACTATTGGGCCGATTTGAAAAATTCTTTCACCAGTATAATTCTTTTTTTTTTTTTGATGATCATAGTCACATTTTTTTTTTTTAGTAGTGCGTAGCTGGGTTAATTTCATGTGCGAGAGCTTTACAGTTTTATGACTATTACCGCCATCTATAGTGAATTTCGAAAACTAAAGAAAGTATGCTTTTTTAATGATTCTACTTAACACTAGATGGCGCTAACCGTACAATGACAACTAGTACCACTACTCCACGATAGGTGGCAGTACTATCGACCGTGACGCTCATTTACGTCAAATCCAGTGACCAATAGGAGAAGCCCATCGCAATAATGCAAGATCGTGCTTTGTGACGTCGTGCTGCGCAGCGCGTTTATTTTCGTTCGTGATAGGGCAGCGGACATCTTGTTTGGCTCATTGACGCGAGCGAAAACGCGATTGAGATGCCTTTGAACGCGAGTGGTTGGTCAACTGAAGAAGACGAAAAATTAGCTGAATTAGTTCAACCTCACCCAAACTTGTACAACGTTCAAGATCCTACAAGGAATAACTTATTGGCACGGGAAACGACATGGCAGAGCATAGCGCAAGCTTTATCAAAACCAGGTATGTGATTTTAAAATAGTATAGTGATAGTATACCTACGTCTTATAAGTCAAGACAAAAATCTTGTGCTGCACGACACAACAGCAGAGATGAACACAAGAAAAGAACCGGAAATGTACTGTAAAAAACTTGGCTAGGAAATACGAATCCCTTCAATATGTATTCAGATTCCCTGAATACGGGAAGATCAGCTCATGACCTACTTTTAACGTGGAGCTACTTACTATACCTAAACACGGTTTCAAAACATTACTAAAGTTATCTACTTAGATACCTAGTTTAAGAGGAAATATTTTAAATACTAAGTCTTCATTATCTTAAAATGCATTACATAAATAAAATAAATTACATGAATAAAATAAAAATAAACCTTAATGAGTTTCAACATTATATCTACTACACAGCACATAACATTGAAAAATAATCAAANGGCTTATTACATCTGAATTGTCAAAAAATGACAGCTGTCAGAATTCCGTCGAATTAAAAATCGGACTTTACCTAATTTACTTATGCCAAGTCATCTAACTAATTTAAAACTTTCTCAATTCCAGTTGAAGAATGCAAGAAGCGCTGGCGTGGACTCCGAGATGGCTACATGAGAAGCAAACGTGTAGGAGCGATGCACAAGACCAAAATTGGCATGTTTGAGAAACTTCAGTTCCTGGACAGTGCAGACCTGGAGACGGAGGAGATACTGGGGGACACTCTGGAAGTGGTCGGAGAAGAGCACATCCAGGAAGACACACTGATCGGAACGGAGCAGCAGGTCATTACGGACAACCAGGAATATTATGAAGTGAGTAGTTTTTGCAGGCCGCTACCAATCGATCAATGTGGAAAGCATTAGGGGAGGCCTATGTTCAGCAGTGGACGTCCTATGGCTGACATGATGATGATGATGATGATGAGTAGTTTTTATTATTTCAATTAATATATTAATACCTGTCATATAATTATTTTCTATTTACTCATGCAATTAGAGAAATCAGTGATGTGTTACTCTTTAACCCTTATTCAAATGCGAGCTGGTATGTATTTTTTTTTACAAAGTTGAAGTGGATTTTGGGTAATTGTGGGTCACTTATTTCATATTTTTGATCAAAATTTATTAAAAAATAGGGGAAGGGGTAGTTTTTTGGGTGGTAAATAATTTACCATTATCCATTCATGACTACAAATTATTCAATGTTGGTGGTAAAATAGTTACCATTGTCCGTTTTGGTTTATTTTTGGTTCTTGACTAGTGACTTCCTCTTGGTTCTACCTATATTTTATTAAATATTTTGGGAATGAAATAATATTGTTTTTATAAAAATAATATTTATTAATATTGGTCATTATGCTTACAATTATTATGCTTACCTTGAGTCTGAAACTAACAATAAATTCACTAATTACGTAATGTCAAAACGTTACGTAAACAGTTATCAAAATAACTTAAAATTTCTCCAAATATTTATTTAGTTTTATTTGTGCACATACAAAAAACAACAGTTATTTTTATATATCATCAAACTTTTGTCAAGACGGGATTGGACAGTGGTAAACTATTTACCACTTCTTTAAAATGTCTAAACTATATGAATAAATCAATTGCAGACGCTGCCTATAAGTGAGACTATACAATAAATGTTATAGTTTAGGATTTTGAATCGAAAAAACACTTATCAGAATTTTCGTTGAACAAAGTTTCAAAAATACCAAAAACGCGCGCTAAAAACTTGAAATTTTTCACACCAAAACCGTTTGGTTGACTTTGACATTACCTGACAGTGACAAATGACGTTGAAAAGTTGTAAAATGGCATAGATAAGTAAAAAAATATATTAAAAAATATAAATAAGTGACCACGATATCTTTAAGTATCACCATATCGAAAATTAGGATCCTTTTTGAAAAGTAAACGAAGTGGTAATATATCTACCTTTATTTGAATAAGGGTTAACATGTTGAATAATATTGTGCAACAGAATGTTATAGGTATAATTATTATAATTTACTCATTCAGCAGACTATTCATTGATATTTCATGAAAGAAGTGACAGGGGTCAAAGACATTAATACCAAAAATTACAACTCACATAATTTGTCATGAAGAAATCTTATCAAATTACAGGCATTTTTATGTATTTTTAACACACTTTATACATTATTTTCCAGATCACAGTCGTCGACGGCCCGCAGGAAACCGCAACCATGAAGCCCTTCATAAAAATAATGCCAAAAATGGACTCAAAAGAGGCTCCTCCGCCGAAGAAAAGGGCAAAGCACGGGGGCAGGAAAAAATCGACCCCCATGCCGAAGGTGATACCACCAATAAAAATACTCCCTAAGCCAATCCTTCTGAACGGCCCCAAGCTGGTGCGATACGTCGAGGACCCAAAGACACCAGAACAGAAATCCCAAGTGATCGACCAGCTCATCGAGAAGGTGCTCAGGGAGAACACAAACGAAATAGACGTGTTCTTCCGCAGCATGGCAGCTAGTGTTAAGAAACTCCAACCAAATCTCATTCCCAAAGTTAAGATGGAAGTTTGCAACGTCATCGCTAAATATGAAATGCAAAGTTTTGACAAAAACATGCAGAACTTTTAAACGTTAGGATTTATTAGTCAACCAGATTGTACGTAGAATTGCAGTAATTTTAGACAAATTAATTTTTCTGTGTGTATTATGCACACCTGTAATATTATTGTGTAACAATAGTTCATTGATGTGTCATTTACATAGATTTTTGTCAAATGAATTGATTAACCGATCTATTCTGGTTGTAAGTGTCAAATGGTGTACATAATATTATAAATTTTAATTAACTTGTGATAAAAGACTAGATTACTTATTAGATTATTTAATTACCAACTGAGTGCGACTCCTATTCGTAAATAACGATTAACTATGTACCACGACGTTTAATTACTGATATTTCATAATTTACGAATTTAAATAAATGTATCGTGAGTATGTAAATCCTGTAATTTTATTTTAGCGTTATTCCACGTGTTATAGTAATTTTGAAAAATGTTGCAGATAATTGTTATTGGAATTTTTGCGCATATTTTTAGTTTGTCACAAATTATGTTAGGTGGCGCTAGCTGACAAGCATTTCATGCCGTGAGAAAAACTGAAAAATCCTCTCAACTTATTTACATATTTAATCAAGTATAATTTAAATGGGTGTAGAAAGAAAAAGAAAATAGGTAAACACCATTGGCATGTCGTTTAGAATGCGATTTTAAATATATCCTACGGTGAGCCAGTGCCAGTAAACACCATCGAAAGTGTCGCATCTGGACTGACTGCATTCAGCGGATATCTGGACCCCGGATTAGAAACCTCATATTTTATGTCAGTCAAGCAACATGTTCTCACGTGGAAATTATTGGGTCTAGTCCAGTACAGTCAATACAAAACACATAGGTACTATTTATTTATCCATGACTGGCACACGAGAATGCTCTTAGGGGGCGTCCATAAATTACGTGAGGCTTTTAGGGGGGGGAGGGGGTCGACGAAAACCTCACTAAATCTCACGTGGGGGAGAGGGGGGGTCTCGGAAAATATCACGTAATTTTTCCCGCAAGAAATAGAGTAAAATTGCCAGAAAACTAGGTTATTGAAGTAAAAAAAATGTTTGTTTATGATGATAATGACAATTTATTCCAAACCGTCTAATCAAATTAAACTAAAAATGGCTCCATCTGCATTTGTGAACACTAAAGATGCAGAATGAATCTCGAAATAAAGAAAATTCGAAATTAAAAAAAAATGTCATCGGCATCGCTATTGCGTAAAAAATTGGCCAAGTGCGTGTCGTGCCACGCGCAGTGTAGGGTTCCGTAGTTGTCTGTCGTTACCACAATATATTTCAGAAGCAAGCAATTACTTCATCTAAAGTCACTTTTCATATTTACTTCACCATGCTCCGAGAGGCAACTTTTGCGATGCCTGCCGATGACGTCATACGTAATGCCGATCAGTGGACGCAGTCCGGCGCTCGCTTTGCATTGTTCTTCATCGCTTTCCTCCATTCTTCTCACAGAGTCCACACGTGCGTACACTATGAAAATCCGAATGAACTGGCATCGTCAATCCGTATGCTGGCACTCACCGTCGATAATCCGTACGCTGCCGGTACAGTGGACGCACTATGAAACATTTATCCGTTTTGTACGATGCGTCTACGGAACCCTAAAAAGTGTCATACATACGTATGAAAATATTATGTATTCGTAGTTAAAGTAACCAATAGTCAAATTTGACAGATGTCAAATGACAAATGGTTAAATAAAAGAAAGAAATGATTTTATAACAATGTTTAACTTGACTTTTAGTACATTTTTTAACTATTAGTTTACATTTTATTAATATTTAACCATTAGTAGCAAAATTTAACAATTAGTAATTTTAACTATGAATCACAAAACTGGTACTAGGTTGAAGCTATTGCTTATCTTACTAAACGATGGGAAGCTACGGAACCCTGCACTGCGCGTGGCACGACACTGGATTACTGATTTTTTCATATAAATCTAATAGACTCGAAGCATAGGCAATGCAAAATAGGCATTTTATTAAATATCACGTGAGATTAGGGGNATTACTTGTTATTAATAGGCACAAGCTACAAAGCCTCGTGAAGATTTTTTTTTCGGACTGGAGAGACGGTCTTGTGTTTTAGTCATATAACGTCCCTAATTAGTTGACCACGACTGTATGTCAGTCAAGCAACATGTTCTGACGTGGAAATTATTGGGTCTAGTCCAGTACAGTCAATACAAAACACATAGGTACTATTTATTTATCCATGACTGGAACACGAGAATGCTCTTACATGCAATTCTTTTTTTCTTAAAATAAGTAGTTAGGAAAATTTTAACATATTTCTTACCAATAACTTAGTTAGAACATTTCGTCATAAACTTAGGTAGGAATTTATTTGTGGTAAGAAAAACCTTTACTTTTCCGAGGAAATATTCCTTGCCAGAATTAAACTAGGACCAATTTTTATTTTATTAGGTAGGTAGGTACCTAGTAATTATATTATTAAATAGAAATCTAGGTTAATTCTCCTAATTTTAATCATTATATCGATTGATTGTTATAATAATATTTCCTCACTTGTGGTTGCTGCTTGCTTAAGAGGAAATACTCTACTACACTCAATTCAATTAAAATCTTTATAAAATTATAACTCTATGTAATTACGGATCTTCAATTTTACAGTTTCCTGTCTTGTAAGTAAGAAGAAATGTTCATTGTTTCTTACTTTAATAAGTAAGGCCTAATTTGCAAAATGACAATATTATAGTTCATTTTCACCGAACCACCCCCTAAGGCCGGCTCGACACCTTGGTCCCAACAGCACAGCAAAGTGTGGATCTAGAAAATAGTATTGGCACAAATGTTGTGGTACGAGTACAAGCTAAGTTCTTTACGGACGAATGGCGTTAGTAACAATATTGGGACCAACGTGTGCAGCCGGCCTGAAGGGTTGCTAAGTTGCTGTACCACGTAGGCACTATAGGTTATTTGCAAAGGGGCGTGGCGTCTAGACGACCTGCCACGGTTCACCGGCCGAACGTTTAGCTCCATTAAAAATATGGCTGCTGGCTTTTTGATCGCCGAGGGTTAATTTGTGGAGTTTTGGTTCGTTCTGAAAGGACGCTCAATATGTACTTTCTTTAAACTTGAGCAAAGTTATGAGAATGTTATGAGTTATGAGAATGACGAGTACCGGGTCTAAAAACATCAACCACAGGTGCGAGGTCTAATCCACCTAATCAATCCTGTTGAGAGATTAATTTTATTAGCATGATGAGAGCACAAGTCCCCTTATTAAAGGTTGTCACAAAAAATTTCACACAATACAAAATATCTAGAAATTACCTTGGCGCACCCGTTTTGTCAAATTACATTATTATTATGATTCATAAAAACATGTGTTTTATACTATAAAGAAAAATACAGAAATCCANTTCATCTCTAGATCATGACTATGTCCATCCTATGGCGTCGGCTTATCCTTGAATTTTAGGACATGTTGTATACATAGTTGGTCAGGGAATTTTGAGAAAATTGTCAGGGAAAGTCAGGGAAAAGTCAGGGAATTTTTTCGAACATTTGCAGTGGACACCCTGAAATCGAATTTCAAGGTAACAAGATGACAGCTTTTGATAACGAAACATAGTTGAGCAGTCTCGTTAAAAATCACTGGCATTCCGCCAACTGCAGTGCCAGAACTGCAGCCTGATGTACAGACAGCAGCATCTATTATGGCACCTTATCAACGTTGAAATAAGACTGAATTTGCAACAAAAATGTAGAGTCCGATGTGCCAGCATTGTAGTGCCAGATAAAACGTTGTTATTCCTAATGGAATATTGCAGGAGAGTGATATGAATGACAAATTGCTGTCTTAAATTATTAGAATAGGTGCAGGTTTAATTTAATTGTGTTTAATTTGAACCATTTGTCGAATAGGTCGAATACCAGCTGCAATTGCATGTTCTTATCTCACAAGGGGCAAATCTGTGGGGCAAATGTTGTGTGGTCTGTCTGTAGCACAGATTAGTCATCTGTGGTCTGCTCTATGTAGTAGCGTCTTAGCTTCCAAGTCCTACCGGGATTAATTGATTTTGATCCAAGTACTACCTATTACAAGATTTTATTTACTTTCACCGGCCCGATGTTTGTCATCAAATTGTGTTCTATTTTATAGTTCCACAGTCTAGTTTTGTGAAATTGTTGTACTGTAAATAATTAATTCTATCAAAAAGCGGGGTAAAACTTTTGAATTTTTTTCAGAACTCACGCAAACTATAGTATACTTTGGAATACGGTTCCACTCTACAAATCCTCATTGAGGCACAACCGCAGCCACATCAAAGCGGTCCTCGAGGGTACTCAGCGTATAAACAATACCTACCTACCCTCACCCCGCGGATCTAACTCGAAAGAGTTCGCTTTAAACAGTTAACGAGGTACCAACATACCCACAACGGCACGTCAAGGTTTACATTGTTGCATCTTATTTTAAAGGTGACAAGTGTGATTTTGCAACAAAATTGTGAAGGCTGGTGTGCTGTAAGTTGTACTTAGACCAGATTGTATGGAACTAACGACTGAAGTGAGGATGGGATTATGGGAGACCAAAAAGTGTCTCGCTGTATAAAATGTTGGGCTTATCAGCTTATGTCAGTGTAGGATCTGTGGTAGCTAGCTTAGCTTATTAAGAACATGTAAGCCTAGATATGAAACATCCCAGACTAAAAGGTGACAGAATGCACAACAGAACTAGCTTTATTATGTGTCAGTAAAGCCTTCTTCGGCGACAAAGGTATAAATGTTCGTGTTCATCAAAACTAAAATTTACCCACAGCTGGACTCAAGTTCAAACCCTCTCACTGGCGTCATACCACTGGGACAGACGATCTTCCAAATAGGATTAAGAAAATGAAGCAAGGTCTTTCCATTTCTCATCCCATTAAAAACAACGAATAGTACGAACCTTCCTAACTGTGGTTAATTATGATAGTGTCTAAAATAAATAGTTTATTTTCAACGTTCAGACACTAATTATTAGAGATGAAACGGATATCCGGCAACTATCCGGTAGGCCGGATATCCGGCCTAAATTTACTATCCGGCCGGATACCGGATAGTAACTCACTATCCGGCCGGATACCGGATATTAAAAAACTACGACAATTTCCTATTAATAAAATGAAATACATTAATCTTTGAGGTAAACATCAATAAAATGGCTTATAATAATGACGGCTTTTATTTAAAGTCCAAAAAGTTACAAAAAGCCATATTAAGGCCTTTAAAAAAACTTATTTCTTTTTCGGGGCTATTCACTCTAATAGTAAATATCTGTTAAGTCGAAATATTGCCAAATAAAACTAATAACATTTAATTCAGAAATGTTACAA